AAAAATGAAAGACAAGCAGCTCCCACTTTTACTTTTCTCCACTTCAATGTATATTTTAAATCTATTGTTTTTTTAAATGAATTTACTGTTTTAAGTTCAGTAAAATAAGCATATTCAAGTGGGAAGGAAGTGTGGCGTAGTAATTGAGAGTCAGGAGACATGGGTTCTGCTCTTTTGTAGCTCTAATCCATCACAGAACCATGAACTTAGCCAGTCTAGGCCTGTTACCACTTCTATAAAATGAAAGGACTGGACTAGATCAGTGGTTCCCAAAGAGAGTGCTTGTGGCACACCCTTGTTACCAAGTTTCTAGGTGTGCCACAAAACTCCTTCCCAAGCCCCAGATTCCCATATTTGAGCACAGGCTCTGGAATTAGAGGACCTGAGTTCAAATTGCACCACTAATGAGCATCGTGACCTCAAATATGGCATGTAATTTCCCTGGGCCCCAGGTTCCTCATCTATAAAATGAAGGGAGTGGAATGGACAATCTTTGTGTTCCCTTCTAGCTTTAAATCTGTAATGAGAGGATCCCAGCCTCTATCCTCTGCTGTGGTTTGCTGCCTTCTCTTCCTACATATCATATGACAATAGCAGTCCTATCCATCCAGATGTAAAGCTGTGTTCTTTGCTGTGAATGATCAGGAAGTAAAGAATAAAGAGGGTGAAGGACTGCAGGAGGATAAGGAGATGCAGGAGAATGCCAAGACTCCAGGTAATCTGGAGGCCCGATTCCCTGAGTACCATTCTTTGTTGCCAACTTAAACGCCCACTCTGTCTCAATTCCTCATGGTGAAGAACACTGTGTTGTGAGCAAAAAAAGTTTTGAAAAACCCTGGACTAAATGAGTTCTAAGATCCTTCTAGCTCTAAAGTCCTAGCACACCGTGATTTTTTTATGTGAGTGTAAAAAAAAAATGCATACCACTAACACAAAATTTCCCAGAGACTCCTAAGATTACTGTCAGAACTCAGTTAATTCTGATAGCCTTCATATTTTCTCAGCAACTACCACACTGCCAAATGAATTAGGTCTACCAATTTATAAGAAAAGTCAGATAAACACAAATCCCCCACATGGGCAGTTTGGTTTGCTATAGAAGTCGTTTGCACTATTAATAGAGAGGGCATCAACACAAGTGCCAGGGGAAGCAGCTTGTTTAGTCAGCACTAGAGCTGGGGTGAGCAGTGAAGCCAGTGCATCTGGGCTGCATTACACAGCTGGTACAGCAATATGTAAGAGTGGCATTACCTAAGATATTTAAGGAAGAGGAGGGGTAGTTACTGGTTGCTGGCAGATTTAATTGCCCAGACCAGTTTTTGTACCTTTAGATGGTTTGAAGTGTTCTCACATTGAAGGCAAGACGCAAAGACCATGTAACCAGCAAAATGGTTAAATAGGTGCTTGCTACAAACTTCCACAATTCCAAAAATCAAAAGAGATTAGTTATGCACTGGATATAACATAATTAAAGATGAATGCACAAGTTAAGAAGACATAAAAGGTAACATACAAGGTAAAAACCCAATGAATTAATTCCAGAAACCTTTAATACGTAGAGCTCTCATTCAACAATCCTACACCCACATGCCTGCCAGAGTAAGCACAATTAAGCCCAGAGGCTTACTATTCACGGAGTCCTCAGTAGAGATGCCCCACAGCAGTAATTGCCAAAAACAAAAACAAAAAAACAATTTCCATAAAAAGTGGCAGACACTAATTCTGCTTGGTCACAAGAAGCATTGAAGGAAGGAGATGGAAGAATTAGGCAGGACAGAAAAATGCGCTAAAAAACAAATCTGATGGTATTTCTCAGTGCTCATCCATCTTGCCCTCAGCTACATTTGACACTGTTGACCATCCTCTCTTTGCAGGATGCTTTCTCCTCTCTAGTTCTGTTGTGTTTTGCTTTTTTTTGTTTTACACTACTCTCTCCTAGTTTTCCTCCATCTGTCTAACCACTCCTTCTCAAAGGCTCCTTTGATGGCTTTTTATCCATAACATCAACCTTGGATTTTCTTTAAGGCTCTTATCTGGACCTTCTTTTTACTCTACACTATATCTTGGTGACCTCATCAGCTCTGCATGACTCATAGATCGCTATATCCAACCCCAGTCTCTTTCCTGATTATTGGACATTCTAAACTAGACATCCCAGACAGATCTCACATTTAACGTATTCTCAAATTTTACATATCAACATTATGATAAGTTCATAACAGAACTTATCAAAGGCACCACCATTCCTCCATTCTCCTAGGTTAACAATCTCCATGATGTCCTCAACTCCTGACTGTCCTTCATCTCACATATTCAGTTACTTGCCAAATTTTCCCACTTCCACCTCCATAACATCTTTAACATCTGACTCTTTCTCTACTCATGTAGCCACTACCTCATCACCTCTCAACGAGATTATAAAAATGGCCTCCTAATTGTCGAATCTCTTGACAATCCAATCCATCTACCATCCATCTACCAAGGTGATTTCCTTAAGTGCAAATATGACCAAATCATTCCCCCACTAAATAAACTCTAATGATTCTCTCTTCTCTCTAATATAAAAAACCAATTCTTCCTGTTTGGCTTTTAAGCCTTTTACAGCCTATCTCCAAGCTATCTTTCTAAGTTTACCATGTATTATTCTCTTTCTTTACTCTCCAGGTATCTGAAGACACCAAAGACATGGAAAAAATCTTGGACCATGCTATCACAAACAAAAAGCAATCAAGAGAAAGAATATCAATAACTAGTGACCTATATGCCTACTTTCCCAACTATATAAAATTTTTATGAAAATAATCTGCATCAAGGGCATCCTTGATGAGGGCATTAAAAGGAGGGAAAATCTATGTTAGATGAATATTTAAAGAAAGGATTTTTTTTATTTTTTTAAGTACTGGTTAAGAAGCTGTCTGAACATCTAGGGAATGATATTCTTTCCCAGTTATAAGTGCAGGGGAATCAATCAATGGAAATTCTTCCTCTGATATTTCCCTTTATTTATAAATTTAAATTCTTCCTGAAACTTAATTACATTTAAAATAAAATACTGTGGTACAACAGGGAACAGCCAGAGTGAAGGAATTACCTAGTAGCAAAAATAGACCAACAAAAGAATAAGCATCTAAAACTAATGAGTTTTGGAATATAGGAGTAGGAAGTAATGATAATAGTCCCAAATAGCTAAGTAGTCAAAGAAGATGAATGAATAGTTCTCAAAAAAAGAAATACAAACTCTCAGTAGTCATCCAGAATGTTCAAAATCACAGAGAAAGGCAAATTAAAATAACACAAAGGTATCACCTCACATATACCAAACTGGCAAAGAGGGGGAAATTCAGTCTTGAAGCCAAGCACACTAATTCACTACTGGTCAAGCTGTGAATTGGTCTAATCATTCTGGTAAATAATTTGGAATTATGGAAGAAAGTTACCAAGCTGTTCATGCTATTTCTAACCAGAGATCCCATAACTATGTTTATAACACAGAGTGGATAATAACAACAAGAAAAAAACAATATGTACAAAAAGATTTGCAATAGGATCATTTTTTTAAGGCTCCCAAAAAAGCCTTTGCCTAGTACAGCAGAAAGAACACTACTAGGAGTCAAATCCTGGCTCTGCTACTTTCTGCCTGCATGTTCCCAGGAGAATCACTTAACCTCTCTGTGCTTCAGTTCCTCATCTGAAAATAAGGATGTTAGAACTAGGCGACCCCTAAATTCCCTTCAGCTCTAAATCTATGGTCCTATTGAGGAGAAATGCCAGAACAAACTGAAGTATATGGATGTAATGTTACGGGATCATAAATAATGATAAGTATAAAGAATTCAGAGAAAAATGAGAAGATATGCATGAAGTGATTCAAAGTGAAGAAGGAAAAGGCAAAAGAACAGTAATAAAATCAATTGTTGTTTGTTGTTGAGTTGTTTCAGTCACTTTGAACTCTTTGTAACCCCATTTAGGATTTTGGCAAAGATACTAAAGCGGTTTTCCATTTCCTTCTCTAGCTCATTTTACAGATGAGGAACTGAGGCAAACAAGGTTAAGTGACTTGCCCAGGGTCACACAGCTAGTAAGTGTTTAAGGCTATATTTGAATTCCTAAAGATGAATAAAGATTCCTAGTTCCAAACCCAGTGATCTATCCACTGCACCAAAAAGCAATGAAAATCAGACCAAATAAAATTGATAACGCTGGTGTGAAATTACTGAAGTTAAAGCACACATTCCTCCTTTCTGCTAACAACCAATAAATTCTAAAAATGGAAAGTAGCATGCACTATCAGACATAAATGCTCTACTGGATGGTTTTTTTCATAGTTTAAATAACTCTCAGGTATTTTTGCTTAACCACTTGGGGGAAACATTTTCTGAAGGGGAAGAGATGGTGTTTTTGGGAAGCCTATATAGTGTCAATACGCAATGAATCTGTTTTCTCTTAAAAATAGTGATAAAACCAAATAATAGAATGGTCAATTCTTTATAAAGCACTGAAATCATACCAATCATGAAGAAAGGGGAAGTCAAGAACTATCATGTAACTTCAAGTCAAGTACAAAATACACAACAATAAAAACTTAAACAGTGGGTAAAAAGCGAGGAATAACATTAGCTACAATAAGTAATTTATCCAACCAGAATATTGGCATTTCTACACCCACTACTACCCTAAGTACTTCACTCAAAAATTAGTAATCCTAAGATGAATGGTGATCTTACTAATATTGTGACCTGGGGCATTAAAAGGTTCTCATACCACCAAGTCTCTTCCACTCTGCTATGAGATCTAGTCTAATTCCAACTCTGCGGGAGACGGATTGAAACGGACAACTGGCCAGGACCTTACTTATGTGACTAAGCTTCTTGAGACCCAGAAAGATTTCTTGCTCAACCTGCGTTAGAAGGGTGTGTGAAGCCATGGCTGTGACTGCAACACTTGAGCTACATGCACGATAAGGTAGAATTCAGTTAGGAAACAAAGGTTTCCTCACTTACCTGTTGACAAAGCCTCCTCCCGCACTTCATCATCCCTGGGCTGATGAATGTTCCAGGAAGTTTTGGGAAGTGAAAAAATTTCCTCTGCTGAAAATAACTTTACCATATCCATGTAGTTGCTCTTGAATTTGTACCGAGGGATAAAACATGTTTTGCCACGTTGAAAAATATCCTTGATAATTTCTTCTGTCTCAATTTCATCCTCCATGCTCAGAAAGACTGAAATTCTCTGAGACTCTTGATATTTACTATGAGCAATCACCTGAACAGGAAAAGATTACAATCATATTTAAGAAGCTACTGAAAACATGATGAACATTCCTTAAAAATCTTTCTACTTCCTCTTAGTTTTTGCCAATTTCTTCACCAATTGTTGCATGGAAGCGAAAACACTGGAGTTTCATGTTACAAAATACTCGGGGTTTTTTGGGGGTAGCAAGAAAGTGGGTACCCACTGGGGAAAGGCAAAACGAATTGTGGAATAGGAATGGATTATTTTGCTATAATGCATGATGGATAGGAGGAATTCAAGGAAACAGGGAAAACTTGTATGAATTGATGCAGAGTGAAGTAAGCAAAATCAAGACCACATACACAATTACTAAAACAATATAAATAGAAAGAAGAATAAAATGCCATTTAATTTGCATAATTATAGTGGTCACTGTGGAGATAAGGTAATGCTCCTCACCCCTTTCACTAAGATGTAGAATGTTGCATATATTATCAGAGGTGTTCCATGGATTGGTTGATTTTGCAGAATTTTTTTTCATAAAAAGGTAGATTCATTAGGTGGATGTAGTGGATTGAAGGGAGGGATATATCTAGAAATGACTACAGTATAAGAACAAGACAACAATAAAACAAAAAAAGAAAAAAGTCAGCATGGTACAACAAACAAAGCACCAATGTGGGAGTCAAGAGACCTAAGTTTTAATTCCTGCCATTTACTGCCTGTGTTACCACAAGCAAGTAACTGCCCCAGACTAGTTTCTTCACCTATAAAAGAAAAGGTTAGACTAGATAACATCTAGGGTCTCTTCCAGACTGCAGTTTATGATCCCATGGTAAGGTACTATCATTTTAAAGTCACTCTCCTTTCACATGGAGCAGTTTGTTGTAGAGGTGTCTGCTTTGATCAGAGTTCTAAAAAATAGTTACTCCAAGTCAAAGTTCTGAGACAGTTGCTATTCATTTTTTTACTTTTCTTTCTCATTTTGAATAAAAAAATGTGAAAAGCTATATCAAGCGGGAAAGATAACAATACCAAAACTTGTCTCTGATTATGGAATAAAGGTAATTTATCTGACTATAGACAGTAGATGAGAGCTCCACTATTAACCATAAGCTACACTGGAGTAATTTTCAGAAAGGACCCAGAGTCTGACCCTTGAAAGTAAGAGAAAAAAGAAGCAAAAAAACAGATTTAAGAATGGAATCAACTAAGCTCGAAGCTGAAAGTGATAGACATTATAGTTGACGCTGAGAAATAAGTACAATTGAATAGAGGAACCGCTTAGAAATAAAAAATCAGAAGTCACCTAGCAGATTGACTACTTTAACTAAAGACATCATGCCCAGTGTGAGGTGTTGGTAAAACACAGTATGGATCAACTCATCTCAGCAGTGAACACATCTGTTCAATACAGAAGCTACATCCATCAAGGAATTTTTAGGGACATTTCCTGGGGAAGAAAGAAGATACTAAAGTTTATAGTTCCAGAGTTGTGTGTTATCCTGAGCTCATTCATGTGCCTCAGAAGGTTTTTCGTAAGCTGTGCCTACTTTCACCCACAGATATTTAGTACACTGGTGTCAGAGTGCTACCCATCTTTATGTGTAGATTGTGATATGTTTATTATTCCTACATTCGATTTAATATATTAATACATGTTATTATTTCTTTTTATTGTTAAATAAATGCTTATGTTTTAGACCTAAAGGTATCACTATTGTCAGTGTTTGGTTTTGTGTAAAATGAAGTACATTAGTGGAGGCTCAAGAACTGAAATGGTATATGATATGCATATATTCTTCCACATTCCCTGGGCCCATATGACAGCTGATGGTGGTTTTCTGGGAACCTATACCTGTTAGTGTGTGTGAGCAGACTAGAGTGAGCAAGCCAGACCAAAGAGCGAGTAGACAACCACATGATTTGTTTGAGAAGTGTGACGCATTAAAATGTGGATGACTACTCCATCCGTGTACCAGGTACACTACTGAAAAAAAAAAGGCAACTGGGGGGCAGCTAGGTGGCGCAGTGGATAGAGTACCGGCCCTGAAGTCAGGAGGACCTGAGTTCAAATGCAGCCTCAGACCAAACACTTGACACTTACTAGCTGTGTGACCCTGGGCAAGTCACTTAATCCCAATTACCTTAAAAAAAAAAAAGGCAACTGGGTCAGAAGCCAAAGGTTTTAGGCTCCATTTCTGGCTATATCACCTACCATATGACCTTCAGCACCTAATAGAATTTCAGTAATCCTTTACAATATCCTTTAAAAGGGGGGTGGGGGGTAGACTGGGGGTGAGGGGTTCCATTACCTTCTGTTTGAAGTGCTGGATGGGCACCTTACTATGGAATATGAGATGGGTATAATGGAAAAGAATGCTGAATTTGAAGTCAGAGGACCTGGGTTCAAAACATGCCTGTGTCACTACCTAAGTGACCTTGAGCAAGCCACTTAAATCTTTTCCCTCATCTGCAAAATCATAGCCTTGTACCAACCGACTGTTCAGGTCCCTTACAACTCCTACTCTATGATTTTATGACTTCAAGAAGCAGCCCATTCCACTTTGGGGAAATTTTCATTGTTAGGAAGTCTCTCCTTATATTAAACCAAAATCCATTTTCTGTAACTCCCTCTCAGTTGCTCCCAGTTTTGCCTTCTGGGTCCTGGTAGAATAGATCTAGGCCTCGGGTTCCTCACTGGTAAAAGACAGATAATAATTTCTTTTCTGCTAAATTCACAAGATTGTTGAAAGGGAAATTAAAAAAAGGTGGATGTATAAAAACATTTTACTATATGTAAATGCTACAGGGCATTATTATTGTTTCTACTTCATAAATTCTTCAGAAGCTGTGTTTTTAGAGTAACAGAACACTGAGAAATAGCTTCCAAACAGAAAACAAATTTCATGGCTACTACATGGCATACTCAACTCATCCAACATCCATGATTTCAATGTTGTGGGTCATCCTTTCACGCATGTAGACCACAAAACTTGCGGCACTTAGATGGTCTTCCTGAGTTACTGTAACAGAAAAATTCATCATCCTGCAGTCGACGGAGTAAAGGATTTCTCTGACCTGGACAAAGGACTCAGAGTCTCTCACTGGGACAAAGCATTATTAGCTTAGTAGGCACTACTTAAGTTTGTGTTCTGATAGCACAGCCTTCGAGAACCCTGAGTCATCTCCAGGGCACGACAAAGCCTCGGAGGAGCACTTCCAAGGAGGAAATATAGACTAAATTACACAAAACTCAGAGTAAAAGCACTTCTAGTGAACGTGATTACTTATAAATAGTCAATCTATATTCGGTTCTGTATATATACTTTTTAAAAACCTAATATTACATAAATTTCCCAAAGGACATCTTGAACATGACAGTTATATTTTCTGTGTTGCTGCCAATATACATTTCCTAATGTAAAAGTTTTAACCTGCCAGAATAAAGTGAAGTTTTTAGTCTTACTGGGGAAAATGCCAAAATGTTATAAAACTCCCTAGGTAAATCATGTTCCAAAAAGGACAGTTAACATTTACTTAGCCATCCTATTCACATGTCCTATCTAGTGAACTTGTGAGGCAAGTTTTATACCATTGTTATTATTTTATACTTTAGTCAACTCAGTCAACTAGCATTTATTAAATGCCAACTATGTGCCAGGCACAGTGCTAAACACTGGGAATATAAAGAAAGACAGAAGAGAGTTCCTGCTCTCAAGCAGAAATAAGAGAGACAACATGCAAACAACTGCGTATAAACAAGCTATAGACAAGGTAAATTGGAAATCATCAACAGAGGGAAGGCACTAGCATTAAGGAGGATCAGGAAAGACTTTTTGCAGTAGGTGGGACTTTAGCTGAGGTTTGAAGGAAGCCTTGAAAGCTAGGAGGTAGAGATGAGAAAGACAATTCCAAGCATGGAGGTGAGCCAGTGAAAATGCAGTGTCAGGAGATGAAACATCTTGTTCAAGGAGGAACAGCAAGAAGCCAGTATCACTGTATCATAGAGTGTATGGGGGAGATAAGGTGTAAGAAGACAGAAAACATTCATATGCAAGTCAGTGATTTTGTTGTTAGGGACCTTCATTTTCCATTTAAGCAGTCATCCTTAGGGCAAAGTAAATGACAGTAGAAGTCCCAGGCTCACTGATGCTACAAGACTTGAGAGTAAAACTTGAGCTGACAAAACAGAAGAGGCAGCATCAATAAAATATGACTGGCAAACACACATTAACTAATGTCTATACATGAGCCCATTTCTATGACTATCCTCCTCCTCTTCCTCCTCCTCCTATCCTGACAAAGTTGGCTGCTTTTATATTTCTGCATCCAAAACCAGAATCTCCCACTGACTTCTTCCCAACATTGATTTTCTTTGATGGTCATTTCAATCAAACCTCACCTACAAAATATATTAGAATGAGCGGGCCTCTGACATAAATGACATGTCTCTGGCCTTCATCCCTCTAGAGATGGCCTTGCATTGGAAGTTAAATTTGGCACATAAATAATAACAGCTTGCATTTATTTATTTAGATCTTCACAATTTACAAAGCACCATCCTCCCAACAGCCCAATGAGGTTTAAGTACTATTATCCTTATTTTACAGATGAGAAAACTGAGGCTTAGAAAAGTGAATTGGGGGCAGCTAGGTAGCACAGTGCATAGAGCACCAGCCCTGAAGTCAGAAGGACCTGAGTTCAAATCCAGTCTCAGACCAACACTGGACACTTCCTAGCTGTGTGACCCTGGGAAAGTCACTTAACCCCAATTGCCTTAAAAAAAAAAAAAGTGAAATGGCTTGTCCACAGTCACACTGCTAGTCATGAAGCACAGTTAGAATTGGAGCCCAGCTCTTCTGACATAAAGTCTCATGCTCCTTCTTGTATTCAACATGCTGTCTCTCCTACACAAATATCACTGAATAAATGAGCAAAAACAAAACAGGAAGAGCCCTTAAAAATGCTCTTCCTCAAATAACTTATTCATCCTCATGGCTTCAGCTAGTCACTCCACACCAGCAAGT